CACCCCTTGAGGTCGGGGACCTTAGACTGTACACCCCTTGAGGGTCGGGGACCTTAGACTGTACACCCCTTGAGGGTCGGGGACCTTAGACTGTACACCCCTTGAGGGTCGGGGACCTTAGATTGTACGCCCCTTGAGGGTTAGGGACCTTAGACTGTACACCCCTTGAGGGTCGGGGACCTTAGACTGTACACCCCTTGAGGGTCGGGGACCTTAGATTGTACGCCCCTTGAGGGTCGGGGACCTTAGATTGTACGCCCCTTGAGGGTTAGGGACTGATGTGAATGTACAATATATATATAAAGTGCTTCGTAAATTGATGGCGCTATATAAGTACCTGAAAGAAAGAAAGCTTTGCAGCTGTTGTAAAGACTAACAGATTCAGCAGGATTTTCACAGTGCTTCTGAGCAAGACTCCAACCTCTTGTTACATGATCCCCCCTGCAACACATGTATATGGCGATCAGGCAAACCAAAATAATTCCAGTAGCATTGATGACCAGGTTGTTTGTTAGATTTCTAATCTGTTGCCACCAATTAAAAAAAAAGAAAACAAAAGTAGAATTTGGAAAAAAAAAATGTATATAATTAGGGGAAAAAAATTGCCTGCAGACATAACTTGGCGAGAAATGGAACCTTGTGATGGCAGCGGAAGGGGTTAACGCGAGTGAGTGGTGTCATTCCCTCCAGTCTGTCATTACTGGTATTATTATTACCCGCAGTTGTTTCAAGTCGCTTTCATTTTCTTGATTTATTATTTACAAATTGCTAAAATGATTTAGTCAAGTATGCAAATGTCCTAATCTGTTAATGAGGCGTTATTGCATTCCATTAAGAGCTAATATTTTCTATCCGCATTCGTTTTTTTTTTTCGGAGCTCACGTGACCCGTTTGTGGAGGCGTTGAATCACCGCAAGGGGAATTGGAATGATCTTTATGGAGATCACCAATCCGGATTAATTCCCAGAATGAAAATTTGGGGCTTCATTTAAAAAATTGTATATATTTATGTAATTTTGGGGCTTATTTAAAAATAAATTATAGACATATATATATATATCCTGGAGTTTGCATGTTTTCCTTGTGACTACGTGGGTTTCCTCCGGGTATTCCGGTTTCCTCCCACACTCCAAAGACATGCTGGTAGGTGAATTGGCTCCTGTCTAAATTGGCCCTAGTATGTGTATGTATGAATGTGAGTTAGGGACCTTAGATGGTACGCCCCTTGATGGTTAGGGACCTTAGATTGTACGCCCCTTGAGGGTTAGGGACCTTAGATTGTACACCCCATGAGGGTTAGGGACCTTAGATTGTACGCCCCTTGAGGGTTAGGGACCTTAGATTGTACACCCCTTGAGGGTTAGGGACCTTAGATTGTACGCCCCTTGAGGGTGAGGGACCTTAGATTGTATGCCCCTTGAGGGTTAGGGACCTTAGATTGTACGCCCCATGAGGGTTAGGGACCTTAGATTGTACGCCCCTTGAGGGTTAGGGACCTTAGATTGTACACTCCTTGAGGGTTAGGGACCTTAGATTGTACACTCCTTGAGGGTCAGGGACCTTAGATTGTACACTCCTTGAGGGTTAGGGACCTTAGATTGTACGCCCCTTGAGGGTTAGGGACTGATGTGAATGTACAATATATATGTAAAGTGCTGCGTAAATTGGCGGCGCTATAGAAGTACCTGAAATAAATAAATATATATATATATATAATTTATTTATATATTATATATATCATTTTTTTTAAATATATATATTTATATTATTATTATTATACAGGATTTATGGGGCCAACAGTTTGCTCAGCGCTTTACAATATAACGGGAGACAATACAGCAACAATACAGTTCAATACAAGAGGGATAGGAGGACCCTGATCCTTGGAGCTTACAATCTAATATATATATATATATATATATATATATATCTTACAGTACAGTGTCTACCATTGCCCTAAAAGAAAAGTAGATATATAAGATGTTGAAAATGGGGGTTCGATTGGTGGAAGCAGATCACAAAATTTGGGGAAGATTGTGTCTGCAATTTGGCTGCTTTGAGTGGGGAGTCGATGGTTCAAGGCACAAAAAAAATCCCTTTAGCGGTTCAATTGGTGGAAGCAGATCACAAAATTTGGGGAAAATTGTGTCTGCAATTGGCTGCTTTGAGTGGGGAGTCAATGGTTCAAGGCATAGTGTGAACAGGCAGGAAGCAATACTTGATTAAACTGTGGTGGCATCAAGAACCTCTTTAGCAATTCAATTTGGTGGAGGCAGAGCACAAAATTTTGGCAAAATTTTGCCTGCAGGTTTGTATATTTAGGGTGGGGCCACCATGGTTTAAGGTACAGTGTGAAAGTGGCAGGAAGCAATACTTGATCGAACTGTTAGGTGGCACATAAAAATCCCTTTAGTGGTTCAGTTGGTGGAAGCAGAGTACAAAATTGTGGCAAAATTTTGCCTGAAAGTTTGGCTGTTTTGGGCAGGGCGACCATGGTTCAAGGCACAATGTAAAGTGGCAGGAAGTTATTCTTGATCAAACTCTTGGGTGGCGTCAAGAACTCATTTAGCGATTCAATTGGTGGAAACAGATCACAAAATTTTGTCTGCAAGATGACTGCTTTGGATGTGGAGTCCGCGCTTTGAGGCACAGTGTAGAACAGTAGGAATTAATACTTGATTGAACTCTTGGGTGGTGTCAAGAATTCCTTTAGAATTGGTGGAAGCAGATCAACAAATTTTGGCAACAATTTGTCTGCAAGTTTGACTGCTTTATGCGGTCATGGTTCAAGGCACAGTATGAAACAGTGGGAATTAATACTTGATTGAACTCTTGGGTGGCGTCAAGAATTCCTTTAGAATTGGTGGAAGCAGATCAACAAATTTTGGCAAAATTTGGTCTGCATGTTTGGCTGCTTTATGTGGGTCCATGGTCCGAGGCACAGTGTGAAACAGCAGGAAGTAATAATTGACTCTGAAAACTCTTGGATGGCACCAAGTACTGCTTTTGTGGGTTAATTGGTGTGAAGTTAAATTTTATCTGCAAGACGACTGCTTTGGGTGTGGAGTCCTCACTTCGAGGCACAGTGCAGAACAGTAGGAATTAATACTTGATTGAACTCTTGGGTGGTGTCAAGAATTCCTTTAGAATTGGTGGAAGCAGATCAACAAATTTTGGCAAAATTTTGTCTGCAAGTTTGGCTGCTTTATGCGGTCATGGTCCGGGGCACAGTGGGAAATAGTGGGAATTAATACTTGATTGAACTCTTGGGTGGCGTCAAGAATTCCTTTAGAATTGATGGTAGCAGATCAAAAAATTTTGGCAAAATTTTGTCTGCAATTTTGACTGCTTTATGCGGGGAGTCCATGGTCCGAGGCACAGTGTGAAACAGCAGGAAGTAATAATTGACTCTGAAAACTCTTGGGTGGCACCAAGTACTGCTTTTGTGGGTTAATTGGTGTGAAGTTAAATTTTATCTGCAAGACGACTGCTTTGGGTGTGGAGTCCTGGCTTCGAGGCACAGTGTAGAACAGTGGGAATTAATACTTGATTGAACTCTTGGGTGGCGTCAAGAATTCCTTTAGAAGTGATGGAAGCAGATCAACAAATTTTGGCAAAATTTTGTCTGTAAGTTTGACTGCTTTTTGCAGTCATGGTTCGAGGCACAGTGTGAAACAGTTGGAATTAATACTTGATTGAACGCTTGGGTGGCGTCAAGAATTCCTTTAGAATTGATGGAAGCAGATCAACAAATTTTGGCAAAATTTTGTCTGTAAGATTGACTGCTTTATGCGGTCATGGTTAAAGGCACAGTGTGAAACAGTGGGAATTAATACTGGATTGAACTCTTGGGTGTCGTCAAGAATTCCTTTAGAATTGATGGAAGCAGATCAACAAATTTTGGCAAAATTTTGTCTGCAAGTTTGACTGCTTTATGCGGTCATGGTCCGAGGCACAGTGTGAAACAGTGGGAATTAATACTTGATTGAACTCTTGGGTGGCGTCAAGAATTCCTTTAGAATTGATGGTAGCAGATCAAAAAATTTTGGCAAAATTTTGTCTGCAATTTTGACTGCTTTATGCGGGGAGTCCATGGTCCGAGGCACAGTGTGAAACAGCAGGAAGTAATAATTGACTCTGAAAACTCTTGGGTGGCACCAAGTACTGCTTTTGTGGGTTAATTGGTGTCAAGCACCATTTTACCTAAATTTTGTCTGCAAGTTAATGCTTCTAGGCACAGTGTGAAGTGGCAGGAAGCCATACTTGATTGGGCTGTTAGGTGGCACCAAGAACTCCTTCAGCCTTCAGTGGTCCAATTGGTAGAAGCAGATCACAAAATTTTGGCAAAATTTTGCCTGTCAAGTGCTGGACAAGACATCCCTGCCCATAAGCATGAGAGGGAGGAGAAAGTGTGGCTCTTCCGACCATAGAATACGTCTTTAAACATCTATCTAAATAAAATGTATCAACACATCATTTTGTTTCTCATTTTCCTCCTCTGCAAAAATGTGGCACTCCATCACTATGATCCTGATATGCCTCCTCTGCAAGGCCTTGGCAAGCCCCATACATTTCACAGGGGGGGTTGGTAAACTAATAATCTGCAGATTACTAGCGCATAAAGCGAACGCGTCTTCCACCGCCGAGTCGCATAATGATATTCTGTGCCGCGCAGGCTCCGAGGTCGATGCTTACAGTTTCAGCAAGATAGGAGGAAAAAAAAAAATTGACTTAAGCCCTTGATTAAAGACAAATCAAGTAGACAAGATCCATTATAACGGGACATGGCGGCATACAGCGCAGTAATAATGCTGCGTGAAGCTATCAGAGGAACCGCTCGCGTTTCCAGAGACGCTCGCCGGTGCTCCCGTGAGACTGCAACTAATTGACTTAGCAATACAACAGCCGGAAGCGCACTACGTCTAGTGTTTAGATTTCATGGCTCGTTGTGCGGTCCCCTCACCACCTCCCTCTCTCTCTCTGTCTTCTTCTCTCTGTAGATGGCAATTTGTATTCAGCCACTGTGGCCGACTTCCAAGCCAGCGACGCCGTCATCTACCGAAGCCTGGGGGAGAAGAGCCCCGTTCTCCGCACCATCAAATACGACTCCAAATGGCTCCGAGGTAAGGTGACTGGGCAACTGGATGGGCAAACTTTCTTGTGTAAACAGCATTTTTATAGTCGAGGTTCAGAACTTTTTTTTCCATCCTTTAGTCTAGAGCCCAATTGAACTTTCAGCTGAGTACGTTCCAGGTGCATCAAAACAAATGGGGTTCAAAAATCATGCTGCAAAGAAGGACCCTTACGCAGTGGTGTATTTAGGTTTTGCGCTGCCCTAGGCAACACAAAAATTGGTGCCCCCCCCCAGAAAGAGCCTGACATTGACCAAGAGCACCCCTGCCCTCCACCCAAGCCTTCCACCACCACTGCCCCCCATGCACCAGCCACCATCCCCCATGACGAGAGAGAGAAAGACACTCTCCTTGACAGCTCCGGACATCCCCAGGAATGAGAGTCGGGCTGTGCATACACCGCCATGAAACCCACAGCATTTCTTGGAACCCACCAGGTCCCCATGCAGCCTGTGCCCCTTTTTCCGTCCTTTTTTCCCTTGCCCCCCGAAAAATGCCACCCTAGGCAAATGCCTTGTTTGCCCTGTGGTAAACACACCCCTGCCCTTACTCCTTTTTGAGGAAGCAGTGGTCTCCCTGCAGAGGTCCGATACTCCTGCAGCCAAATCGCCAGACAGCAGGAACCATGAGCTTTGTAGAGCTTCCACAGCTATTATTTAGGACTCAACTGGTGGTGTGCCAGACCTCTGCAGAGAGACTCTTGAGTTCAAATGTCCTCCGCCGCAACATGCTGGCAGGGGACAGGCTGTTCTACTCAGGCTGTGGCTGCTTTCTAAAGAAAACCAACTGTGATACTTGAAATGGACTTTGCTGATTAAAAGCAAAAAAGGCCAACTGGGCTCCAGGGGCGGACTGACAACTCATGGGGCCCCCGGTCAATAGGGGATCATGGGGCCCCTGTGTCCTTGCCCAAACTCAAAAAAGCCTTTGAAAAAGGTACCAGGGGCATCTCATGGGGCCCCCTACTGACCCCGGGCCCTTGGGCAGTGCCCAAGTTTCCAAATGGTCAGCCTGCCCCTGGCTCTAACTGGCATTTTTTGGTAACTTCTAACTCAAAAAAGCTCAATGGTAAAATGGTAAAATCTTTTGTTTAGGTATGAGACAGGAAAAAGGGATATTTTGTTCCTAGGTCCTGTCTCTGCCCCTACAAGGGACATTTCCCCAGGGGCGTATTTACCACAAGGCAAATTAGGCATTTGCCTAGGGCGGAATTTTTCAGGGGGGCAGCACCACTACCCAGAAGAAGGAATGGCAGAAGGGACACACGTGGCATGGGGAGCAGGTGGGATCCAAGAATGGCTGCTGGCTGCTAGACGATGTATGCAGAGCATGACTCTCATTCCAAGGGATGTCCAGAGCTGCGAAGGTGAGTGTCTTTCTCTCTAGTGCCAAGGTGGGGGTGAGGGGGTGGTATTGCGGGGTATGGGGGGAGGTGGTAATGGAAGCCTCTCTTGAGGGCAGGGGTCTTGTAGGTCAATGTCAGGCTCAGGGGCGGACTGGCCATTTTTAAACTCGGGGCACTGCCCGAGGGCCCGGGGTCAGTAGGGGGCCCCATGAGATGCCCCTGGTACCTTTTTCATAGGCTTTTTTGAGTTTGGGCAGGGACACAGGGGCCCCATGATCCCCTATTGCCCGGGGGCCCCATGAGTTGTCAGTCCACCCCTGGCTCAGGCTCTCTTTGCAGGCAAGGGGGAGGATGCTTGTGTTGCCTAGGTCAGCACAAAACCTAAGTACACCACTGCATTTCCCTTCCATTTTGGTCAACGGGACAGTAAATGGAGAAAAAAAACGTCTCCAAGGGGAACACAGACATAAAAAATTACTTTAATAGAGCAGATCGGATTGGGAGCTCTGTTGGCTTCTTGTTGGTTCTTAACATGTCCTTGTTGGGGAGATTATCCTTCACCTCCCGTCCCGGAGACAGAAGTTCTAATCCTTCCTAATCCTTATGTTCTCTTTAAAAATTTCAGCTTTTTTTTTTTTTTTAAGTCGGTAATGTTTTTGTTGTTTTTGTAAATTGAAACTGCCGTGCATGTGGTTGTCAAAGCCCACGTTATACAGAGAGAATTAAAATTTTTACTACCACTCTGTAATCGTAGGAGCTTCAGCACATTTTACTTCAGTATCTTAAAGCTCCCACATGTATTAGAAAATACATAATAATGGAGCACTTTCTCTGCCATTAAGGAGACATTTTTATTCGGTTTTTGGTAGTTATTTGTGTTTTTTTTCTATTCCAGAACCCCATTTTATCCATGCGGTGGAGTATGGAAACTACGTGTATTTCTTCTTTCGGGAGATCTCAATGGAATACACCACCCTGGGAAAGGTACAAAATCTTCATATAATGGCCACCAGTGGTCTTCATATTGTGTGCTATCCTCCAGTGGTCTCTGCTTTGTATAGTAGCCACCGGTGGTCTTCATATTGTGTGCTATCCTCCAGTGGTCTCTGCTTTGTATAGTAGCCACCGGTGGTCTTCATATTGTGTGCTATCCTCCAGTGGTCTCTGCTTTGTATAGTAGCCACCGGTGGTCTTCATATTGTGTGCTATCCTCCAGTGGTCTCTGCTTTGTATAGTAACCACCAGTGGTCTTCATATTGTGTGCTATCCTCCAGTGGTCTCTGCTTTGTACAGTAGCCACCAGTGGTCTTCATAATCTATGCTATCCTCTTGTGGTCTCTGCTTTGTATAGTAGCCACCGGTGGTCTTCATATTGTGTGCTTTCCTCCAGTGGTCTCTGCTTTGTATAGTAGCCACCAGTGGTGTCTGTATTGTTTAAATGCTATCAGAGGTCTCCACATTGTAAAATGGCTACTGGTGCTCTCTGCTTTGTATAGTAGCTACCGGTGGTCTCCTGTATTGCATACTCTCCGCCACTCTATAGTAGCCATCAGTTGTCTCTGCTTTGTATAGTAGCCACCAGTGGTCTCTGCAATGTATAGTAGCCACCAATAGTCTCTTCATCATATAGTAGCCACCAGTGGTCTATGCATTGTATAGTAAACACCAGTGGCCTTTATATTTTACACTATCCTCCAGTGGTCTCTGAATTGTATAGTAGTAATCAGTGGTCTATTCTGCATTAGCCACAAGTATTCTCTGCATTGTATAGTAGCCACCATGGAGTCACTAGTGGCTTTTGCATTGTATAGTAGCCAGCCAATGATGTTTGCATTGTACGGTAGCTACTAGTGGTCTCTGCATTGTATACTATCCACCAGTGGTCCCTGCATTGTATAGTAGTAATCAATGGTCTATTCTCCATTAGCCACCAGTGGTCTCTGTATTACATAGTAGCCGCCATGGAGCCACTAGTGGTCTTTGCATTGTAAAGCGGCCAGCCAATGGTGTTTGCATTGTACGGTAGCTACTAATGGTCTCTGCATTGTATACTGTCCACCAGTGGTCTCTGCATTGTATAGTAGCAATCAGTGCTCTATTCTACATTAGCCACCAGTGGTCTCTGCATTGTTTAGTAGCAATCAGTGGTCTATTCTACATTAGCCACCAGTGGTCTCTGTATTGTATTGTAGCAATCAGTGATCCATTCTACATTATCCACCAGTGGTCTCTGTATTGTATAGTAGCAATCAGTGGTCTAATCTACATTAGCCACCAGTGGTCTCTGCATTTTATAATAGTCACTAGTGATCTCTGATTTGTATAGTAGCCACAAGGGGTTTCTGACTGCATAATAGTCACAGGTGGCCTCTGCATTGTATAGCGGACCCCAGCGGTCTCCTCATTGTATGGTAGCCACCAGTGGTCTCCGCATTGTATGGTAGCCACCAGTGGTCTCTGCATTACATAGTAGCCGCCATGGAGCCACTAGTGGTCTTTGCATTGTAAAGCGGCCAGCCAATGGTGTTTGCATTCTACGGTAGCTACTGGTGGTCTCTGCATTGTATACTGTCCACCAGTGGTCTCTGCATTGTATAGTAGCAATCAGTGATCTATTCTACATTAGCCACCAGTGGTCTCTGCATTGTTTAGTAGCAATCAGTGGTCTATTCTACATTAGCCACCAGTGGTCTCTGCATTGTATTGTAGCAATCAGTGATCCATTCTACATTAGCCACCAGTGGTCTTTGCATTGTATAGTAGCAATCAGTGGTCTATTCTACATTAGCCACCAGTGGTCTCTGCATTGTATAGTAGCAATCAGTGGTCTATTCTACATTAGCCACCAGTGGTCTCTGCATTGTATTGTAGCAATCAGTGATCCATTCTACATTAGCCACCAGTGGTCTCTGCATTGTATTGTAGCAATCAGTGATCCATTCTACATTAGCCACCAGTGGTCTCTGCATTGTATAGTAGCAATCAGTGGTCTATTCTACATTAGCCACCAGTGGTCTCTGCATTTTATAATAGTCAGTAGTGATCTCTGATTTGTATAGTAGCCACAAGGGGTTTCTGACTGCATAGTAGTCACAGGTGGCCTCTGCATTGTATAGCAGACCCCAGCGGTCTCTGCATTGTATGGTAGCCACCAGTGGTCTCTGCACTGTATGGTAGCCACCAGTGGTCTCTAATATGCCCCGATCCTTGTGTCTTCTTCCTTTTACCAGTAACATGTGCTGACTACTGATTTTATAAAGAGTCACATAAGATGTTCAATAAATGGAGATGTCCCTCTGCTCATTGAGCCGTCTGCCTAGCTTTCTGGCAGCTGACCGCACGACCGCAGCAAAGCAACTAAAGGGGAACACGCACAATGACGCCACGCCGCCGCCGCCCCCACCACCCATCCTCAGCAACTCGTTCAGAGAAGCACTCTCTTATCTCTCCTCCACCTCTGCTCCATCCCCTTAACAGCATTACAAGAAAATTACTACTTCTCCCGTGCTGCCACAGCGCCTGGACGACGCTGATAATTGTCAAAGCATCCCAAAGACGGGCTTATCCAATCATCTCCCGGGCAGCAAAGGGCAGCGCAGCTATCTGTGCCCAGCCAGTTAACGGGAAAATGAGCAGAAGCGGCTGTTCCGGATCTGATAAACCGCCGTCATTATCAGCCAGAGACACGGCCTGCTGGATTAATTGCCCCACGTCCTTTCAAGGGATGTGGGCGGCCCACTTGGCGTTCGCAGTATATATTACTCGGCGTGATTGGTTTGTCATAGAACTGGCGATGTCACTCAGCACAACAAGCAAATTAGATTTCCTGGAATGCTGGTCTTATAAATGCTTTTGGGCTTGTTTGCTTAGTACATCGTACCTTAAGAGCAGGGGCGGACTGACAACTCATGGGGCCCCTGTGCAATAGGGGATCATGGGGCCCCTGTGTCCTTGCCCAACCTCAAAAGAGCCTATGAAAAAGGAACCAGGTACATCTCATGGAGCCCACTACTGACCCCGGGCCCTCGGGCAGTGCCCGAGTTTCCAAATGGTCAGTCCGCCCCTGGCTCTAACTGACATTTTTTGGTAACTTCTAACTCAAAAAAGCTCAATGGTAAAATCTTTTGTTTAGGTATGAGACAGGAAAAAGGGATATTTTTGTTCCTGGGTCCTGTCTCTGCCCCTACAAGGGACATTTCCCCAGGGGCGTATGTACCATAAGGCATTTGCCTAGGGTGGCATTTTTCAGGGGGGTAGCAAAAAAGGCCAACTGCTCTCCAGGGGCGGACTGACACCTCATGGGGCTCCCTACTGACCCCGGGCCCTCGAGCAGTGCCCGAGTTTCCAAATGGTCAGTCCACCCCTGCTTAAGAGTTACGTTTTATGATATGGATGACTTTTTACATAGAAACTCTGGACAGATGAAAAAGACGAAGACTAATGTAATCAGTAAGACGTCATTCAATGCATTTTTTTTTTTTCTTTAAATGCAAGCTGTGCAAGTACCCAATTTTACCTTGGTATCAGCCTCTTGCAGTCTGCTGTACAGAAGAGCTCAAAGAGGGGCAGGGAGAAGCAGCACAAAATGTTTACTATAACAGCCTTTCTCAACTTTTTTTACTCCAATAATAATAAATAATTTTCATGCCTCAAAAAAACCCTGCTAATTCATTGGGAGTCGTTGAGAAGAATGTCCCTTACATTGGTGGTCAGTGGAAAGAATGGCCCTTGCATTGATGTCCAATGGGAAGAATGTCTCTTACATCGGTGGCTAGTGGGAAGAATTTCCCTTACATTGGTGGCCAGTGGGAAGAATGCCCCTTACATTGGTGGTCAGTGGAAAGAATGGCCCTTACATTGGTGGTCAGTGGGAAGAATGTCCCTTACATTGATGTCCAATGGGAAGAATGTCTCTTACATCGGTGGCCAGTGGGAAGAATGCCCCTTACATTGGTGGCCAGTGGGAAGAATGCCCCTTACATTGGTGGCCAGTGGGAAGAATGCCCCTTACATTGGTGGCCAGTGGGAAGAATGCCCCTTACCTTGGTGGTCAGTGGGAAGAATGCTCCTTACCTTGGTGGTCAGTGGGAAGAATGTCCCTTACATTGGTTATCAGTGGAAAGAATGCACCTTACATTGGTTGTCAGTGGGAAGAATGTCCCTTACATTGGTGATCAGTGGGAAGAATGTCCCTTACATTGGTGGTCAGTGGAAAGAATGGCCCTTACATTGGCGTCCAATGGGAAGAATATCTCTTACATTGGTGTCCATTGGGAAGAATGCCCCTTACATTGGTGGCCAGTGGGAAGAATGTCCCTTACATTGGTGGCCAGTGGGAAGAATGTCCCTTACATTGGTGGCCAGTGGGAAGAATGTCCCTTACATCAGTGGCCAGTGGGAAGAATGCCTGTTGCACTGTTAGTCAGTGGAAAGGATACTCCTTACATTGGTGATCAGTGGGAAGAATGTCCCTTACATTGGTGATCAGTGGGAAGAATGTCCCTTACATTGGTGGTCAGTGGAAAGGATACTCCTTACATTGGTGGTCAGTGGGAAGAATGTCCCTTACATTGGGGATCAGTGGAAAGAATGTCCCTTACATTGATGATCAGTGGGAAGAATGTCTCTTACATTAGTGGTCAGTGGGAAGAATGTTCCTTACAATGGTGGTTAATGGGAAGAATGTCCCTACATTGGTGGCCAGTGAGAAGAATGCTTCTTACATTGGTGGTCATTGGAAGAAATGTCCCTTACACTGGTGGTCAGTGGGAGGAATGTTCTTACCTTGGCAGTCATTGGGAAAAATGCTCCTTACATTGGTGGTCAAAGGCAAGAACGTTCCTTGCACTGTGGGTCAGTAGGAAGAATGTCCCATACATACGTGCTCAATGGGAGGAACGCCAGTCCTATGGTCAGTCAGGTCCTAGATTAGGTATGCATCTACTCCTTGGTGCAAGGAAGTAAAGGGTATTTAATTGGTGCCTTACAATCCTGAGAACCTTAGATAGCTGCCTGTCTTGCCTGTCCTTTGATGTTCAGCAGTAATTCACTCTCAATTTAAGCTTCCATCCTCCCAGTATTGAACGATGTGTCGTAGAGCCAAGAATAGATCACTGAGCTGCACGTAGAGGGTTGGTGGTCTCACCTTCCTTGGACCAAAATAACTTCCCCCATTCATCTCCTGCCGTAATGTGGTTCTGTGCAGCATTTCACGGCCTCCACCTCTCTTCTGACCTATAAACGTTCTGCTTTTACAATCCATTTAGTTTCAGGTTCTCCTTATTTTTTTTTCAATTTGCTGCTTTTTTTCCCCTGTGTCCGCCTGTCTCTTTGTATTTAGGGCGCTCACTGTCCGGCTGATCTGTCTGCATGGCGGCGTTGCTCTGGGCCTGTTACCGGGAAAATATTTTATCTAAGCAACAAAGACAGGGTCAGCAAATTGCACCTGTCTCCTGAATGCAATTTCTAAATATTTTCTGCATGGGATATTTCTGACAGCAGAGCTGGTACTAAAGACTAATGCAGGCCATAGATGGGTCGAAAAATCGGTCGATTTTTTTTTCGGCCGACAATAAAACCGGCCGATTTTCGGATCGTTAGTGGGTTAATAGGTCGGCCGTTTTTCGGTATTTTGGCAGGTTTTTTTATAGGTAAAGTTGGAAAAAGATCGGTCGATTTTGACCTGCAAGAGGAAGACAAAAAGAGGAGGAAGGAGAGGAGGAAGAGGAAGATGAGGAGGAGGAAGAGGAAGAAGAAGAAGAATTCCAGTCCGGCAAAAAGTGTCCCTGCAGAGAGCTCCGCTATTTCTTTGACAGTTCTTTGACATTTATAGCGGCTGCAACATTGTATCTATTTGTATCCATTCCTTTAAAAAAATGAAAAATCGGTCGTTCAATCGGCCGACGTTACCAGGAACGGTATAAAAAAAAAATTCGGCCGATTTTCATCCCGTCTACAGCCGGCAAAAAGTGTCTCTGCAGAGAGCTCCGCTATTTCTTTGACAGTTCTTTGACATTTATAGCGGCTGCAACAATGTATCTATTTGTTTCCGAATAAAAACATCTGTATCCGAAATGGATACAAATAGATACAATGTTGCAGCCGCTATAAATGTCAAAGAACTGTCAAAGAAATAGCGGAGCTCTCTGCAGAGACACTTTTTGCTGGCTGTAGACGGTATGAAAATCGTCCGAATTTTTTTTTTTTTCACCATTCCTGGTAACGTCGGCCGATTGAACGACCGATTTTTCATTTTTTTAAAGGAATGGATACAAATAGATACAATGTTGCAGCCGCTATAAATGTCAAAGAACTGTCAAAGAAATAGCGGAGCTCTCTGCAGGGACACTTTTTGCCAGCTGTAGACGGGATGAAAATCAGCCAAATTTTTTTCTCTATACCGTTCCTGGTAACGTCGGCCGATTGAACGACTGATTTTTTCGATTTTTAAAGAAAAATCGGCCAGTTTTCTCCCCATCTATGGCCTGCATTAGGCATGAGTCACTTCACAAACCCTGCAAAGAAAACTACAGTTAGGGGGTGTATTTATTAAAACAATTGCACAGCTATTCAACCATCGAAACTGCATTCAAGTTCATTCTGTGCCAATGGGACAAAATTGAATGTTCTCAGGCTATATTCACTGCAGATCAAATGTTATGAATTGAAAAAAAAAAAAACATTGTGAATGGTTGGAAATACTGCCTTATGGCTACTAGATGGTGCTGAGTAAAAAAAAAATGAACATGCTGTTAAACGATGACAAAGCTCTATCCTTGTCTCCTAATTGGGCTTCCAAAGAAGTCTACAAAGGGCTAATTTAAGAGTGTGATCTACATATAGACCTGGGGAATATGTACTAAGGGGGGGTCTTGACATTATTATGTTCCTGGCCCTAGTGAGTTCTTCATAGGAATTATATGGATATGGGATGGAAAACCAGCAAGGCAGAGCAAGCCCTAAATTTTACAACATCATGTGAGTTGTGAAATCTGCTTGTCAGGGTCACAGGCTGCAATAATGATATGGTAGAGACAGGGGCAATAGGGGATCATGGGGCCCCTGTGTCCTTGCCCACACTCAAAAAAGCCTATAAAAGGTACCAGGGGTATTTCATGGTGCTCTCTACTGACCCCAGGCCCTCGGGCAGTGCCCAAGTTCTCGAATGGTCAGTCCGCCCCTGGGTAGGGATCAAACCCTGCTTTGAACATTCAAATAAAAAATGTACTTGGAGTTCCAATTTAAAGGTGGCTTCATTGTTGTCCAGGTGACCTTCTCTCGGGTGGCCAGAGTATGCAAAAATGACATGGGTGGCTCTCCTCGGGTCTTGGAGAAGTACTGGACCTCCTTTCTAAAGGCTCGACTCAACTGCTCTGTCCCGGGCGACTCCTTCTTCTACTTTGACGTCCTCCAGTCCATGAGCGACATTCTCACCATCAACAACCGGCCGGCGGTCATTGGAGTGTTCAGCACCCAGGCCAACAGGTGAGGTGATATGAACAACTGAAAGAGAAGCCTATGTTATTATTATTATTATACAGTATTTATATAGCGCCAAAGGGTTTGCTCAGCGCTGTACAGTAGCAAGGGGGACAGAACATGAGACAAGACAGTAACAATACAATACACGAGGGGTTCGAGGGCCCTGCTCTTTTGAGCTTACAATCTAGGAGGGAGGGGAAAGTGGTACAGGAGAAGATGGCTGTGGGGGATGGATTGGTGGGAGGAGTGGAGGAGGTTAGTTTGTTAGGTGAGGTCGGGTGTTAGGTGAGGTTGGGGTAGGCTTCCCTGAAGAGGAGGGTTTTCAGGGTGCGCCTGAAGGTGAGGAGGGTAGGTGACAGTCTGATGGATTGGGGTAGATAGTTCCAGAGGATGGGGGAAGTTCTGGAGAAGTCCTGAAATTGGGCGTGGGAGGAGGAGACCAGGGAACTAGAGGGTAGGAGGTCCTGTGAAGAGCGGAGGGCACGGGTAGGGTAGTATTTGGTATCAGGTCAGTTATGTAGTTTGGGGCGGCATTGTGAATGGCTTTGTAGGTCAGAGTTAGCAGCTTGAACTTGATGCGTTGGGCAATCGGGAGCCAATGAAGGGATTGGCAGAGGGGGGAGACAGATGTGGAGCGCTTGGTGAGGTGGATGAGTCTGGCCGCTGAGTTTAGGATCGACTGGAGTGGGGATAGCGTTCGTTTGGGTAGGCCAGTGAGAAGGGAGTTGCAGTAGTCCAGGCGTGAGATGATGAGGGAGGGTACGAGTTGTTTGGTGGTGTCTGGGGTGAGGAATGTGCGTATCTTGGAGATGTTGCGGAGGTGGAGCCTGCAAGACCTAGATAGCAGTTGGATGTGGGGTAGGAAGGAGAGGTAGGAGTCCAGGGTGACACCCAGGACTTTGGCATGTGGGTGGGAGAGATGGTGGCGTTGTTAGTAGTGATGGAGAGGATGGGGGGGGCACGGGGTGGGGGGAAGACCAGGACTTATAACTCATTAGTTATTGAGGTCACTGAGATTGTGGAGTGCTTCACGGTTAGTTTTGGAAAGTGTATTGAAGGATACTGTTTATTAAGGCAAAAAAAAAACGTGAGACAATTGTTGCGTATTTCTTATAGCATGGTGGAACATTTAAGAGAAAGATTGTTTCCGGAATTCAAAAGGGGGAAACAGGACCCAATGTTCTTGGCGGCAATTTCTCAAACCCGAGAGTGCAAAAAAAATGTTTGTTTCTGGCAGATATCATTGCAAGAACGTATCGACGTTCCATTAGTATGATACAAATGACATTACTACAATTGTTTTTAAGGGTTCGGTTTAGATTTAGGATTAGGAATTGGGTTGATGTCGAGAATTGGTTGGGGGTTGGGGGTTGGGTTAGGTCAAGAATAGGGTTGCCACAATTTCTTCAAGCCAAACCTGAACACTTTAGCAGCGCATGGCAAATTTTCACCTCCCCTTTGACACCAGCCATTAGATCAGAGTCCACTTATATTAGTGCCCCCCTTAGAAACCCCTATTAGATCAGTGCCCCCTTATATTAGTGCCCCCCTTAGAAACCCCTATTAGATCAGTGCCCCCTTATATTAGTGCCCCCCTTAGAAACCCCTATTAGATCAGTGTCCCCTTATATTAGTGCCCCCCTTAGAAACCCCTATTAGATCAGAGTCCCCTTATATTAGTGCGCCCCTTAGAATCCCCTATTAGATCAGAGTCCCCTTATACTAGTGCCCCCCTTAGATATTAGATCAGAGTCCCCTTATACTAGTGCCCCCCTTAGAATCCCCTATTAGATCAGAGTCCCCTTATATTAGTGCCCCCCTTAGAATCCCCTATTAGATCAGAGTCCCCTTATATTAGTGCCCCCCTTAGAAACCCCTATTAGATCAGTGTCCCCTTATATTAGTGCCCCCCTTAGAAACCCCTATTAGATCAGAGTCCCCTTATATTAGTGCCCCCCTTAGAATCCCCTATTAGATCAGTGTCCCCTTATATTAGTGCCCCCCTTAGAATCCCCTATTAGATCAGAGTCCCCTTATATTAGTGCCCCCCTTAGAATCCCCTATTAGATCAGAGTCCCCTTATATATTACACCCCCCAACCCTTAGACCCCTCCAATCCCTTTTTAGCCTCAACGAGTCCACTTATGGATTTGTGCCCCCCTATTAGATCAGAGTCCCCTTATACTAGTCCCCCCTTATTATTAGATCAGAGTCCCCTTATATTAGTGCCCCCCTTAGAATCCCCTATTAGATCATAGTCCCCTTATATTAGTGCCCCCCTTAGAATCCCCTATTAGATCAGAGTCCCCTTATATTAGTGCCCCCCTTAGAATCCCCTATTAGATCAGAGTCCCCTTATATTAGTGCCCCCCTTAGAATCCCCTATTAGTGCCCCCTTATATTAGTGCCCCCCTTAGAAACCCCTATTAGATCAGTGTCCCCTTATATCAGTGCCCCCTTAGAGACCCCCATTATATGAGAGTCCCCTTATATCAGCACCCCCCCCCCCCTTAGATTAGACCCATTAGATGAGAGTGCCTTTATATCAGTGCCCCTTCCCTTAGAGACTCCCTCATTAGATCAATTCCCATTATATCAAGGCCCCCCTTAGAGACCTACCATTAGATCAGAGTCTCCTTAAATCAGCACCCCCCCCCCCCTAGTGACCCCCCATTATATCAGAGTCACCATATATTAGCACACCCTCCCCCCAGAGACCCCCATTACATCAGAGTCTCCTTATATCAGGGCCCTCTTTAGAGACACACCCATTATTTCGGGGTCACCTTATATCAGGACCCCCTTAGTGACCTCCCATTATATCAGGGTCACCTTATATCAGCACCCCCCTTAGAAACACCCCCCTTAGATCAGAGTCCCCTTATATTAGCACCCCCTTTAGAAACACCCCCATTAGATCAGAGTCCCCTTATATTAGCACACCTGTCTCTTAGGGACCCCCCATTAGATCAGAGTCCCCTTATATTAGCACCCCCATCCCTTAGAGACCCCCAATTAGCTCAGAGCAGGGGGGGGCTGACAACTCATGGGGCCCCCGGGCAATAGGGGATCATGGGGACCCTGTGTCCTTGCCCAAACTCAAAAAAGCATATGAAAAAGGTACCAGGGGTATCTCATGGGGCCCCCTACTGACCCCAGGCCCTGGGGCAGTGCCCGAGATTCCAAATGGTCAGTCCGCCCCTGGGCTTTACTTACTGATGAAGGGAGGAGTCAAAAGCCTCTGAAATGTGTTGGCTTTACCCACTGATGTGGAGGAAGTTTTAAGCCCACATCCTGGCCCAAATCATCCAATTCACTTCCTCCGGACGTGCCCCCAGCCTACGACTGGACAGTGAAAAGAGAAGCAGCACAATGTTACTCTGCTCTCTCCTCCTATCAGCCATGCTTATTGGTAGCACATGGCTCCCAGAAAAATGGGAGAACATGGCGGACAATGTATTTTCTGCCCCTGGCTCAGAGTCCCCTTATATTAGCACGCTCCATTAGATCAGAGTCACCTTTTATCAACGACCCCCCTTAGAGACCAACCGTTAGATCAACGCCCCCCTTAGAGACCACCCATTAAATCAACGCCCCCTTAGAGACCACCCATTAAATCAGAGTTCCCTTCTATCAGCTCCTCCTGCCCCTTAAAGAGCCCCATTAGTTTTCCATACTGGTTGAGCCAGGAAGTGGGAGCCGACGAGGGGGGGGGGGGGGGCACGGAACTGGGAGGTGGAGCAGCTCAGCATAGTTCTATTTTCCTCCCACTGTACACGGTATGTGTTCGGGTTTCAGGCGGACTGAAACCCAGACGCATGATTCAAAACCTGGACTGTCCGGGTGAATCGTGGACATGTGGCAACCCTAGTTAGGATACAATAGAGTACCCGACCCCTTTAGGTCATTTGACTCTTTACAACCAGGACCCAAAAGAGCTGTTAATGTTTGTGCCGAAAAGCACCGGTCAAAATACCATGTGATTTTCAAAGTAAAAGAATGCCTATGTAGGACGTCTGTTACTTAGTTGTCATTATCAATAATAATTGTGATGGGTTTTATTGGACGAGCAATCTCCCAATGTCTACGGTCACGTTACAGTCCATTAAAGATTTCAAGTATCTCACTTCTTAATCTAGATTCATTAACATGCAATCCTGGTTCGTTAATTATTCTAGAGTCTCAAATTGCATTATATGAGAAGCAGCCTTATCAGAACTAAATGCTAATCACCCGAGCCTTTGCCCTCTCTCCCGCTCGCCTCCTCTTCTACCTGCCTGCTATTATCTGTACAACGATATTCCCCAATGTGCCGTGAAATTCCCTTCGAAAAACCAGACAAGTGTAGGGGGAAATTAATGGAAAGGAAACCGCCAATTATTGCCTGACAAAATATGACGGACTCAGGGAAAAAAAAAAAAAATAATATTACGAGGCATTACTATTAGTGCTTTACGTAAGTCGAGCCAACCCGCAATGGAGATGCCCAGTAGGGCCGTGAAACAGAAATTGACTGGCTAAGAGAGTTCGGGAGGAGATTTACGAGCGTCTCTGTGCCGGTAGACAAAAACGTAATAAAGACAGGAGAAAATAAATCACAAATTATAAAAGAAAACCGCAGGTAATGGAAGGTAATATATTACCACACTATCAGAGAAAGTATTTGAGAAGAAAAAAAGACACGCTAGCTGTACAAGGAGCCACAAGAAGCCAACTTTATCCAAGAGACTTCTGGGACGAGGGTAACATGTCCGCTGACAGATGTAGAACCATATGTAGCGATGTTTTTATGGCTGGAAAAATGTCTTCTCATTAAATGAAGGGATCCAGAGGGATAAGCTTTTTACTGCAAGAACTAAACTCAGTATTGTTAGAACATGCACTTGCGTTTCGGAGAAAACAAGACAAGTACATATAAAAAGAATTCTAAAAGGAAACTGTACCATTAGGCCAAATGTTTGTGGACATCTGAGCATCACACCTAGGTGAGCTTGGTGGACATCCCATTCCAAAACCATGGCCATGGTGTTGACCCCTTTTTGCTGGGAAAACAGTCTCCACTCTTCTGAGAAGACTTCCTACAGGAACATGCACTTGCGTTTCGGAGAAAACAAGACAAGTACATATAAAAAGTATTCTAAAAGGAAACTGTACCATTAGGCCAAATGTTTGTGGACATCTGAGCATCACACCGAGGTGAGCTTGGTGGACATCCCATTCCAAAACCATGGCCATGGTGTTGGCCCCTTTTTGCTGGTATAACAGTCTCCACTCTTCTGAGAAGACTTCCTACAGGAACATGCACTTGCGTTTCGGAGAAAATAGGACAAGTACATAGAAAAAGTATTCTAAAAGGAAACTGTACCATTAGGCTAAATGTTTGTGGACATCTGAGCATCACACCGAGGTGAGCTTGGTGGACATCCCATTCCAAAAAACCATGGCCATGGTGTTGGCCCCTTTTTGCTGGTATAACAGTCTCCACTCTTCTGAGAAGACTTCCTACAGGAACATGCACTTGCGTTTCGGAGAAAATAGGACAAGTACATAGAAAAAGTATTCTAAAAGGAAACTGTACCATTAGGCTAAATGTTTGTGGATATCTGAGCATCACACCGAGGTGAGCTTGGTGGACATCCCATTCCAAAACCATGGCCATGGTGTTGGCCCCTTTTTGCTGGTATAACAGTTTCCACTCTTCTGAGAAGACTTCCTACAGGAACATGCACTTGCGTCTCGGAGAAAACAAGACAAGTACATATTAAAAGTACTCTAAAAGGAAACTGTACCATTAGGCCAAATGCTTGTGGACATCTGAGCATCACACCTAGGTGAGCTTGGTGGACATCCCATTCCAAAACCATGGCCATGGTGTTGGCCCCTCTTTGTTGGTATAACAGTCTTCACTCTTCTGAGAAGACTTCCTACAGGATTTTGGAGGATGTCTGTGGGAACTTGTGTCCATTCAGCCAAAAGGACATTTAGTGCTATCCCTGAAGGGGCCACTGTAGATTTACATGTTTTTTCCCAAATTAGTGCAGGGACAGCCAGGCACACAGCAACACTCCACTTACTCCAGCTCATGAAACAGTCTAGGGGTGTTCTTTTTGAAGTTTACTTGCTGGTAGAATTTGAAAACCGGAGGACAGTGGGGCATTGGATACTCCAAAACATTAGGTATTGTTAGCAGAGGACACTTTTTGCTCAGTAAAAGCACACAAGCAACAAGTAGACTGGAAGAGTCTGTAGTCTCATGGTTGAGAACCATGAAGTAGGTTTTAGCACCGATAAAGGTAGACTTAAACAGTCTATATTTTTGAGCAGATAAAGGTAGAGTGGAACAGTCTATTTATTCAGAGATGGGGACCATGAATAGAGGTGCAAAAGAAGAGGCTTTGTTCACAGTGTCCTGGAATAGGATCAGTCTGTAGGCACAGCCTCTTGTGGAGTAGTCCAGCATCCAGTCCAAAGGGCACCAGGAGCAAGCAACCTCCCTCTCTTCAGCTCACAAATTCATTTTCTCAGCAGGGAAAAGGACAATCTCCCCAGGGCTCCAGACTATTTAACATCATTCCAATCACCATCATGGTACACCTCCTCAGGACTGGATAGGCCCTGCTCAATATTCAGACTGGCCTTTTGAAATCTCCCTCCCTAAGCTCCAGATACATCATCTAGAGGCAGGAGGAAACAATCAAACTCTCAGCCTGTGAAGTCCTAAACAGACCAGTCCAAACAATCACTGCTCCCCTGATTACAGAAGGAGACGAAAACGAAATGTATCTAGGAGGGTTTTTTAGGTCAGCTGCTAATTTAGGATGAGAAAACCTGGCTCATAATTGGCATTCAAACTCATCTCAAAGGTGTTTAGTGGGGTTGAGGACAGATACTGATGTTGGATAAGAAGACCTGGCTCATAATTGGCATTCCATCTCATCCCAAAGGTATTCAGTAGGGTTGAGGTCAGGGCTCTGTGCAGGCCACTTGAGTTCCTTCACACCAAACTCATCAAACCATCTCCTTATGGAGTTGGCTTTGTGCATAAGGGCACAGTTTTGCTGGAACAGAAACAGGCCTCCCCCAAGCTGTTACTACAAGGTTGGATGTGAATCTGTATTCTATATGAACAGAACCCGTCACTGAAAACACCTGAACTCAATCATTTAGAGGAGGGTCTTCACACTTTGTCCATATAGTGTATTATTAAGCACGTTGTTCAATGTTTCAATAGACGTATTTATTTTGTAGTAAGTATCCATTTTAATTACAAAAAGAGAATGGGAAAGCTTGTTCCACTGACAAATGTCTAATAGGGAATTTACCTCACCTTGAAAAAGCTTCCATTTACTTCCAGAAAGTGAGGTAAAATCTCTTATAAATTGTTTCAGCACTCGATCCAAAGTAGAAGGGAAACAATTTGGCATTAGCTATAAATAAATAAAACAATTTCTGGTGGTTGTACTTTTGACTAAGCTCTTCCTTCCTTCTCACCAGCATCACTGGCTCAGGAGTCTGTGCCTTCTACATGGACGACATCGAGAAAGTCTTCAATGGAAAGTTTAAAGAGCAGAAGACTACCGAGTTGGCTTGGACCCCGATTCCAGAAGAAAAGGTTCCCATGCCCAGGTAAAAGGCTACCTAATGTCATCACATTCAGAGCTGTGGAGGTCCATGCATAAGACTGAGCCCCTCTCTTCCTCCCCTAGGCCAGGTTGCTGTGCAGGGTTTGGCAATGCTGCATCCTATAGGGCCTCCAGTGAGTTCCCGGATGAGACCCTCTCCTTCATCAAATCCTACCCTCTTCTGGATGAGGCTGTGCCTTCTATAACAGAGACACCATGGTTCACAAAGACGACTAGCAGGTATGAACAAAATTGGTTCACTAAAGTCTTCTCCAAAGCAGGGGTAGACGTGTTGGCGATGACCAAATGGCAACAATCATAGGGTCCTTAGTGTCATTGCCTACATACAATTAGCAACGGGTTTGACAAAGATAAACGATTCAAAATATCTGGTCCTGATGTTTCTTTGCTGCGTTTGATTAGTTGCCATAAGCAAAATGCTAATGAGCTCTCAAAATCCATCCCCTGGGGAGCTTGTTACCATGCTTTATGTTGACAAACAAAGCAAAACTCTTACAAATGTTTTATGAAATTCGCTTCACTGCATTGATTTGACAGCCCTATAGGAAAGGGAAGTTTCAGTCACTTAGTTACAGTATTAGAAATATTTTTTCAAACTAAAACATAATACAGCCAACCTACACATATGAATCTTGCTTTGAAACAAAGGGTCTGTCATCTTGCTATGCCTATCTTTAAAGCCAAAGGGGGGCAGTAAAAAAAACTAGTAAGTGCCATTTAAAAATGCTTCTACTCCTATGTTCATCATATCAAGCAAGTTTGCAAATACTGCCTCTCATGCTTTTCCTTTCTCTTGCTATCCTTCAAGAGCTGTAATAATACTAATCAAGGGTGCTCCCTAAAAAAGGTTCTGGTTCCTAATGCGTTCCTGCAGGTCTTACTGAGTTGCTACTATCACCACACTGGTGCAACCTTTCTTTATAGTAATCCTTCGTTTAGCTCATTCAGGTCAAAGCAAAACGTTTGCTTAAGTCCCCTTTCCCTCCCCTGCATACTTACATTTACTTTGTTCTCCCATGTTCTTCAATGACCGCTGTAGGTAATGCCCAGTACTTCCAGTTATGTGACTTTCTGGCCCAATTCAGACAACTGAACCCTTCCAACCTTGTGGTAACAGTTTAGTGAAGGCCCTTTTCTGTTTCATCTTATCTAAGCTTTTGTGTTCATGCCTTCTCCAAAAGGACATGGTTTGACCAGTTTGTTGTGAGGGAAGCCTGCACAGAGCCTTGCCCTCATCCCTATTAAATACCTTTGGTATGAATTGGAAAGTTTGTTGCAAACTAAGTCTTCTTATCCAACATCAGTACTTGACCTCATTAATGGTGACCAGCTCCATAAAGACCTGATAGGATGAGTTTGGAGTGGAGGAATTTGAGTGTCTTGCACAGACCCCTGACCTCAACCCTTCTGAGCACCTTAGGATTGAATTGGAATGCCAAAAGCAAGCTAGGTCTTCTAATCCAGCATCAGTTTGTGACCTCATTAATGGTGACCAACTCCATAAAGACCTGATAGGATGAGTTTGGTGTGGAGGAACTTCAGTGTCCTTCACAGACCCCTGACCTCTACCCCTCTGAACACCTTAGGGTTGAATTGGAATTCCAAAGGCAAGGTAGGTCTTCTCATCCAACATCAGTACTTGACCTCATTAATGGTGACCAGCTCCATAAAGACCTGAAAGGATGAGTTTTCGAGCGGAGGAATTTTAGTGTCTTGCACAGACCCTGACCTCAACCCTTCTGAGCACCTTAGGGTTGAATTGGAATTCCAAAGGCAAGCTAGGTCTTCTCATCCAACATCTGCATCTGACCCCACAAATGCTCTTTTGGCTGAATGGGCTCACATTTCCACAGACACACTACAAAATCCTGTGGAAAAGCTTCCCAGAAGAGTGGAGGCAGTTGTAGCCACAAGAGGAGGGGGGGGTGCAACTCCTTCATAATGCCCATGGTTTTGAATGAGATATCCAACAATCTCACACAGATGTAGTGGTCAGGTGTCCACATTGACCATATAGTATAGTTGTTGATCAAAATCTCACTGCTTATGGCCCCATACATTATATAGCATAGGAAAAAACATTATAGCATAGGAAAAAAAAAAACCCTGTGGTAGGTGCTCGGTTATTGTGTTTACCTTAGAGAAAAGGCAGCAATTAACAACTGAAGTGCAGCAAGCGAGGAGGTATTGGGTATTCAGCTCTGTAGTAAATTACCCCATTCATCATTTGCTGCAGAGAACAAGATGTAGCTCATAACTAATCCTGAACTGTGATTGACAAATAGACTGTTCTGGCTTCTCCAAAGTTCTATGTACAATCTTGCCCTTTGCATGATAGATGAGGTAATTTGTATCCAAAACCCATTCATCAGAGATCCTCTTGTTTTCTTAAACCTTGATAAACCCTCATCTGCTGTTTTTTTTCTGAAGAACCATCTCTGTTCAACAAACACATACTGTCATTTGTTACCTGTAATCCTGCCAACTACGCCAGATTTGTCATGCCACGGTATTCCAAATACACAAAAGGCGGTTCTTATCCTCATTTGCCATTCAAAGGAAATACAGAGTCTTATCAATTACTTTGTATACACCCGTAAAAAAAAGCTGATCTATATAATATCATCAACAGAAAAAACCTTGTTCCGATGCATACATTTCAATGACATATTTCCTCATTACATACTCATTCTCTGAGTGGTTATATGTTACTTCTTTCTCTCATAATTGAAGCCTACTATATATGTCAGCTGACTCATTAAAAACAATATTTTTTTCAAAATGGCTGATACACTATGTGACCAAGAGCTTGTGGACATCTGACCATCAAACCTACATATATGACCAAAGTATGTGGTGTTTCCAGTGACAGGTATTGTAAATGCTACAGCATACATAGGCAATTTAGCTATATCCTAAAGCTTTGTGCCCCTATACACACAAAGTCAGCCCCACAAAGAGATGGTTTGACCAGTATGGTATGGAGGAACTTGTGTGTCCTAACCTCTGCCCTACTGAATATCTTTGGAATGAATTGGAGCCCAACTGCAAACCATATCTTCTCATCCAACATCAGTACCTGACCTCACAAATGGTGGTGGCCAGCTCCATAAAGACCAGTTTGGTGTGGAGGAACTCGAGTCGCCTGCACACATTCTGGACCTCAGCCCTACTGAACACATTTGGGACGAAGTGGAACCCCAATTGCAAGCCAGGTTTTCTCATCCAACATCAGTACCTGACCTCACAAATGGTGGCCAGCTCCATAAAGACCAGTTTGGTGTGGAGGAACTCGAGTGGCCTGCACACACTCAGCCCTACTGAACACCTTTGGGATGAAGTGGAACTCCAATTGCAAGCCAGGTCTTCTGATCCATAAAGACCAGTTTGGTGTGGAGGAACTTGAGTGGCCTGCACACATTCCGGGCCTCAGCCCTACTGAACACCTTTGGGACGAAGTGGAACCCCAATTGAAAGCCAGGTCTTCTCATCCAACATCAGTGCCTGACATCACAAATGGTGGCCAGCTCCATAAAGACACGGTTTGACCAATTTGGTTTGGAGAATCTTAAGTGGCCTGCTCAGAGCTCTGACTTCAACCCTGCTGAACACTTTTGGTATGAATTGGAACCCCAACTGCAAGTCAGGTATTCTCATCCAACATCAGTACCTGACCTCACAAATGGTGGCCAGGTCCATAAAGGCATAGTTTGACCAGTTGGGTGTAGAGGATCATGATTGTCTCACACAGAGCTTTGACTTCAATGCTACTGAACACCTTTGGGATTAATTGCATCCCCATTTGCAAGCCAGGGCTTTGTCAGGGCAGGAGCTGTGGAACGGACAGGCAGGCCTAGAGGCAGGGTCACGCACTGACTGACGACAACCACCACCCACAGACCGGAGTCCCTCAGGGCGCGGAGTCTAAGTCCCAGGCTGCCTTTCACCAGGGCCCCTGATGGTGGGGATGGACTTGACGCAGCCAGGAACCAGGTCGCGGCCCCCAAGACACCCCAGCTGTGGTAATGGCCACCGCCAATGGCGTGTAGCTGGTAGGAATCAGATCAGACAATAGCGTAGTCGGGCAGGCCGGGTCGACAACAACGGGACAAACGGTACAGAACAGTAGACAAGAATCACAGGTCACAGGCCGGGTTCAGCAACGGGAGGTCAGATCAAAGGAAAACGCAGAGAATGGTCTAGTCACAAGCCGAGTCAGATTCCAGGAGAGTCACAAGAGTATACACAGAGGTGTTGCAACACTAACACACAAGACATGAATGCAAAGGGCAATGTGCAGACAACAGACTTATATGTAATCAACCACACCCCTCTGGGGGATGGACCTCAGAGGCCTGAAGGCATAAAAGACTCCCACCATGCTCTTTGCAGAAACCCAAGATGGATGCCAGCACATGGAGCAGCACAACCTCTGGGAAAAGGTAGGACCTTGACAGGCTTCTCATCAAATATCAGTACCTGACATCACAAAAGGTGGCCAGTTCCATAAAAACAAGGTTTGACAAGTTTGGTGCAGAGCATCTTGAGTGGCCTGCTCAGAACCCTGACCTCAACCCTACTGAACACTATTGGGACAAATTGGAACCCCAATCGTAAGCTTCTCATCCAACTTCAAAGCTTGACCTCACAAAATGCTCTTTTGACTAAAGGGTGTAAAATTCCCACAGACACACTACTAAATGTTATAGTTGTTATAGCCATAAAATGGGGGCCAACTCCATATTGTTGGCCAGTTCACGGAATTGGATGTCCAACAAGTTCATGTATGTGTGATGGTCAGATGTCCAAAAAGGTTTGTTAACATAGTGTATCTTATCTCAGCCGTTGTTAAGTAATACAAAATTTGAAATTGTAAGCCCACATTTGGGCAGCAGAGTCCCCCTGACATCTCCCCCTTTAGTTGGGTTCAGCTTTGTGGTTGCACAATGCCTAAATACAGCCTCTTAGTGCCACCCAGAGTATTCATTACGCAGGAGGGCTGGTAGGCACCCTTGTAATGGAGCCTTGGTCTGTAACCCAACATTACACATCCACAGCCGAAAAAAGCAGGAACATTCAGAAATTCTATTACCGTCACAGACATAATTTTATCCCCAAGGGGAGATCATTTGAAGTTGTAAAAGCCTTACATTTTCTCCTTTTCAAAGGTACAAATTGACCCAATTTTGCCGCTGACACGTCAGCCGGCCCCTATGGAAATTACACGGTCTTGTTCCTCGGCTCAGAGGATGGGAAGGTGTTGAAGGTCTTGACTGGCACTACGGAGAACTCCACCGTGGAGACGGCTCTCTTAGAGGAGATTAATGTCTATAGCCAAGATAGGTGTGAGCTCATCCCCATGAAACGACAGCGTTCTAAGATATTATTTGTGCCGGAATAGTGCAATCTCACAAATCTGCCACTTGCTAAAAGCCTTGTCGTTGCCTCCTGTAGGTGCGGGGTGAAGGCGGAGGATGGGGAAGATATTGGGGCTGCAGGTGGACCGTGAAAACCATGCCTTGTTCGTCGCGTTCTCCAGCTGCATCATTCGGGTTCCTCTAAGTCGCTGTGAAACCTACGGGGACCTGCAGACGGTAAGTAATGGAGATGAGAAGATTCTGTTTCTTGTTTGCCTAATTTAACCATTACAAACGTTTAGTATAGACCAGCCTTTCTCAACTGTTTCAAACACAGAGGAGCCCTTGAAATACCTTTCCGGTCTCAGGGAACCCATGCTAAAAAATTACTATAGCTACAACTCCTGATACATTAGTTTGATGTTCAGTGGGAACAATGCTCCTTACACTTTTGGTCACTGGGAGGAATTACCCCCTTACAAGATAGCTAAAAGGGTCAATGGTGTCACTGGTTTCTTATCTCAGAGGCAGGAATTGGTTATTGCCCTGTCAACCTCTGGAAGAACCCTAGGGTTTCATGGAACCCTGGTTGAGAAACCCTGGTATAGACATTATTCCTGCCATAGGACTACTCCAAATACTGTGCCTACAAGGTAAGTAGTATCTTAGGTAGGAAAGGCCACCAGGGCTGGGCCACTGGCTAGTTAGAAGAGGCAGTTATGCAGAAACAGTCTGCTGGTCCTCAGAAACATCTGTATTTGCCAACTTTTTCTTGCTGTCTGTTGGCTCCTTTGGTGGATCTACTCTCATGCCCTATCCCGTGACACCAGCAGAAGAAAGCAGAAGGTATGGGTGTTACCAGCAGAAGAATGTGCCTGACAGATGTCCTGCTGCCTCTGTCCCAGAGAGATGTCCCATTATTTCCTGTTGTTTTGACACCCTGTCCCCAGGACAGACAGGAAATTTGAATTCCTCGCCACTGGTCACCCATGCTAATGTTCCATACCACCAAGACAGAAAGATCACCAATTTTACAGTCATTGAAATAGAAAGAAGTGATGGTAGATCTCCCAATGGGAGCAAATGTCTGAAAGGAGGACAGAGGGGAAGTCTTCCAATAGGAACACTAGTTCAAGTGACAACCAGGGATTCCCTCACTTTGGAGGGATTTCCTAGAACTTCCTGCTGTGGCTATGGGACAGGAAGTGAAGGGAAATCTCCCAACAGGACACAGGCAGCATAGGTATTATCACTTGGAGCTCCAGAAACATGGTGATATGGTGACTGCTGGTGACACGTCTGGTGCACATGGCTATGGTGGCTGTTAATGATCTTGGAAATAGATCTATACCAAAACTGCTGCTGACAGCGTGTGAGAGACCTCAGAACACATGACCCCAGGTGTAGGTCTGTAAATGGTCCGGTGGGGACACTGCTGATGTGGAGATATAGAAAAGGATGTGCAAGGCTGGGGAGTATTATTAAATGGATGCCTGGAATTCATATTGATTGGTTTTGTTTAGTCTGCCTGTCTGTTTATGGAGATCTTAATGAGTAGAGGTGGACAGATTTCATCATCGTATCTCTTTCATCTCTTCAATCACGAAAGGCCTGTATCATGGTTTTGTATGTTTCCTTATTCTCTCTCTCCTTTCTTTCTTTCTTTCTTTCTCTCTCTTTTTTCTTTTTCTTTCTTTCTTTTTCTTTTCTCTCTCTCTTTTTTTTTTTCTTTCTTTCTTTTTCTTTTTTCTTTCTTTCTTTCTTTCTTTCTTCCCCCCTCTCTCTCTTCTTTCTTTCTTTCTTTCTTTTCTTTTCTTCTTCTTCTTTCTTTCTTTCTCTTTCTTTCTTTCTCTCTTTTTCTTTTTTCTTTTTCTTTTTTCTTTCTTTCTTTCTTTCTTTCCCCCCTCTCTCTCTTCTTTCTTTCTTTCTTTCTTTCTTCTCTCTCTCTCCTTCTCTCTCTCTCTCCCCCCTTCTTTCTTTCTCTTTCTCTCTTTCTTTCTCTCTCTCTCTCTCTCTCTTTCGTTTTCTTTCTTTCGTTATTTCTTTCTCTCTTTCGTTTTCTTTCTTTCTTTTTTTCTCTCTCTCTTCTCTCTCTCTTTCTTTCTTTTTTTCTCTCTCTCTCTCTTTCGTTTTCTTTCTTTATTTCTTTCTCTCTCTCTCTCTCTCTCTCTCATCTTCTCTCTCTTTCGTTTTCTTTCTTTCTTTCTTTTTCCTCTCTCTCTCTCTCTCTCTTGTTTTCTTTCTTTCTCTCTCTCTCTCTTTCATTTTCTTTCTTTCTTCTTCCTCTCTCTTTTGTTTTCTTTCTTTCTTTCTCTCTCTCTCTTTCGTTTTCTTTCTTTCTCTTTCTTTTCTTTCTTTCTTTCTTTCTCTCTCTCTCTCTCTTCTCTCTCTCCTCTCTTTCTTTCTCTTTCTCTCTTTCGTTTTCTTTCTTTCTTTTTCTTCTCTCTCTTCTCTCTCTCTCTCTTTTCTTTCTTTCTCTCTCTCTTTCGTTTTCTTTTTCTTTATTTCTTTCTCTCTCTCTCTTTCGTTTTCTTTCTTTCTTTTTCTTCTCTCTCTCTCTCTTCTCTCTCTCTCTCTCTCTTTCTTTTTTCTTCTCTCTCTCTCTTCTCTCTCTCTCTCTCTTTCTTTCTTTCTTTCTCTCTTTCGTTTTCTTTTTCTTTATTTCTTTCTCTCTCTCTCTTTCGTTTTTCTTTCTTTCCGTCTTTCTCTCCCCCCCCTCTCTCTCTCTCTCTCTTGTTTTCTTTCTTTTTTTCTCTCTTTCATTTTCTTTCTTTCTTTCTCTCTCTTTTGTTTTTTTCTTTCTTTCTTTCTTTCTCTCTCTCTTTCGTTTTCTTTCTTTCCCTCTCCCTTTCTTTCTCTCTCTCTCTCTTTCGTTTTCTTTTCTTTCCCTCTCCCTTTCTCTCTCTCTCTCTCTCTCTTTCTTTCTTTCTTTCTTTCTTTCCCTCTCCCTTTCCCTCTCTCTCTCTTTCTTTCTTTCTTTCTTTCCCTCTCCCTTTTCTCTCTCTCTCTCTCTCTTTCTTTCTTTCTTTCTTTCTTTCTTTCCCTCTCCCTTTCTCTCTCTCTCTTTCTTTCTTTCTTTCTTTCTTTCCCTCTCCCTTTCTCTCTCTCTCTTTCTTTCTTTCTTCTTTCTTTCTTTCCCTCTCCCTTTCTTTCTCTCTCTCTCTTTCTTTCTTTCTTTCTTTCCCTTCTCCCTTTTCTCTCTCTTATTCTTTCTTTCTTTCTTTCTTTCTTCTCTTTCTCTCTTCTTTCTTTCTTTCTTCTTTCTTCTCTTTCTTTCTTTCTTTCTTTTCTTTCTTTCTTTCTTTCTTTCTTTCTTTCTCTCTCTCTCTCTCTTTCTTTTCTTTCTTTCTTTCTCTCTCCCCTTTCTCTCTCTCTCTCTCTTTCGTTTTCTTTCTTTCTTTCTCTCTCCCTTTCTATCTCTCTCTCTCTCTTTCGTTTTCTTTCTTTCTCTCCTCCTTTCTCTCTCTCTCTCTTTTGTGTTTCTTTCTTTCTTTCTTTCCCTCTCCCTTTCTCTCTCTTTCTTTCTTTCTTTATTTATTTCTGTCTCTCTCTCTTTCGTTTTCTTTCTTTCTTTCTCCCCCCCCTCTTTCTCTCTCTCCCTTTCCTTCCTTCCTTCCTTCCTTCCTTCCTTCCTTCCTTCCTTCCTTTCCTTCCTTCCTTCCTTCCTTCCTTCCTTCCCTCTTTCCCTCTCTCTCTTCCCCCCCTCTTTCCCTCTCTCTTCCCTCTCTCTTCCCTCTGAGGTTTGGCGGCAGTTTGGACATATCTGTGGTTTTAGCTGCGGTCTTATACACCTTCTATTAGGTTGCGTGTTTTAGCACATTTTCTGAGAGCACACCAAAGGTCCTGCATGCTGCATCATTTGTGTGCTTTAAGAAAATGCGCCCAGAATGCGCAACCTAATAGAAAGTCTATGGGGACTGCAGCTAAAACCGTACGTAAATGGCTTTCTTTCTTTCTTTTTTTTTCTTTTTTTCTTTCTTTTGTTTTCTTTCTTTCTTTCTTTCTTTCTTTCTTCTCCCCCCTTTCTTTCTTTCTTTCTTTCTTTCTTTCTTTTTTTTCTTTTTTTCTCTCTCTCTCTTTCTTTCTTTCTTTCTCTCTCTCTTGAAGCCGGGCCTCAGACCTGGACCTCATAGTCTATCTATCTCTTTGTCTGAACCTGTACACCATAGTTGGGTGTCTTTGTTGGCATTGTTGTTGTTACTTTGTGTCCATTTCAATACCAAAAGAAACTCTTTTGCCTTAAAAAGAAAAAAACAAAAACTCATCCGGCTGCCGTTTCCCTTTCTCCGCATTCCGCGCCCACTTTTGGTGGAAGCCTATTAGCCAACATCTGTCCGTAGAAGAGAAAGGAAGCCGCCAACAACACGCTCCTATAAAAAAAAAAAAAAAAAAAAAAAAAAGACGATCCCTTCCCTTCAGACCGCGATCTGTCCATGCGTGACATTGAGAAAACACAATACGCAATAATAACATTTGTCGGGGGTTGATGATAAGGAGGAGAAAAAAAAAATAAAAAAAGAACGCGGTTTGATTAGGTCTTTTAAACAGCGTGTATTCATTTCCACAATGGCCTGTGATCTATTGTTCCGCGCCAGTTTTCGGTTGAATAAACCCCCTTGTGCTGTGAAGGGAAATATAACCAGCTTGGAAATAATCTCATTAATAAAGTCGCATCGTGTGGATCTCCGGAGAACAAAAACAGCTTCAATTTCACAACGGTTCATGCGTTCGCGCGGCACGAGGTGCAACAATACCAGCGAGCACATGGCTGCCTCCCCCCCCCACCTCGCCCCAAGCGGGTCATCATACCGGCCTTCATAACCCCACCACAAAGTCATCGGCGTTAAGAGCCAGGCAATAACATCTGAAGAGGTCCCCGGGCGTCTGGCGGCAGAAAGGAAGGCTCTTACATGCCAGGCTTTGTATCGGCGCTTGGAGGGGGGAGGGGGGGTGCCGGAGACAAAGCGCGAGAGGGGGGAGCAAGCGTTTTTTTCTTGCTTTTGCCAGTGGCATGCTGGCGAAGGCTGCAGCTCGCTGGTACGCTGCCAAGTGAATGCCTACGGGGCAGCTGTGTGCAGAAATGGAAGTAAATGACTTGCGATATGAACGGCTGATCTTAAGGGGGTATGAGTGGGGGGAGGGGAACTGAAAGCCTTCTATTCTCCTTTTCCAAGATTCCAGATTGAGACAAATACAAGAAACAGAAGAAAATTCCAGGAAATTTTCAAATCGGCGATAAGCAATTCACTGTTTTTTTTGGAAGATAAAAGAAAACGTTCTCCTATCGTTTTTTTTTTTTTTTTTTGGGGGTGGGGCTGGCTCCTTGAGGTATATATATATAAAAATCACATAGCAAATGAAAGGAAGAGAGAGGGGGCGCCAACCAAGTGTGGCATTAATAGTACCCGCTGGATGTTCTTAATGCTACACTTAGTTGGCGCCCCCTCTCTGCCTTTTTGTACCATTACAGAGGCAGCTTGCTACTCTGGCTGCCCTAAGTGAGCCCTTGGAAGTTATTATGAAGGACTATTCATTCAAGTTGGACTTTTAGGGACTTATGTTGCTGGCCCCATTAGTGCCATTTAACCTCTTGTTGTTAATGGAAATGCATGTACATTCGTTCTGTGCGAATGGGGGGAAAATATGTTGTTAGGCTATTTCTAGTACTGATCGAATGGTTGTCATCGATTCAAAACTGAAAATGCTGCGTCTGTCTACTAGATGGCGCTAAGGATCATAGGTAATTCCTGCGATACTTAAGGGCATCTAGTGATCAAATGTGGTATTTTCCATTTTAAATCAAGCGCAGCAAATTGCCTAATAACCAACTTTTTTTTTTTTTTTGCGCCGTTTGCACATAGCGAATGTACTTTCACTGTGCGAATAGCTATGCAAATTGTTTTCAAATATATTTATATATATATATATATAAAAGTTTATATATATATATATATATATATATATATACATACAGTGTGTATGTGTATAAATATATATATATATATATATATATAAAAAGATATATCCCTTTGTGTTTCTGTAACATAAACCCTGACTGCATGACATTTACCTCTATGTGCCATACATGCTTAACATTTTTTTAAACATTTTTTTAAGTAAAACTTAGTTTTTACCTCTTTTTTATCCTTTGTTGCAAATTTATTACAAATATATTTATATATATATTTATATATATATATTTTTTTATATATATAAATATATATATATAGAAATATTAGAATATATAAATATCTATAGCTTAACATTTTTTAAAGTAAAATCCTCGTTTTTCACCTCATTTTGCAAATTTGTTACAAATATATTTATATATACATACATATATATATATATATTTTTATTTTTATATATATATATATATATAATATATATATAATTATTAAAATATATAAATATCTATATCTATATCTTAACATTTTTTAATTAAATCTTTGTTTTTCACCTCTTTTTATCCTTTGTTGCAAATTTATATATTTACAGTGTATGTGTGTGTATGTATGTTTATATATATATATAATATATATATATATATATATATATTTCTTTTCATTTTTTTTATTATTATTATTGTTATTATTATTATTTTATTTTTTTTTTTATTATTTATTTATATAAAATTTAATTTTAAAAAAAAAATTTTATAATATATAATAATATAAATATAAATAAAATATATAAATAGATGTATAAATATATAATAGATATATAAAATAGATATATCCCTTTGTGTTTCTGTAAAATAAACCCTGACTGCATGACATTTAGCTCTATGTACCATAAATGCTTAAAAATTTCTTTAAGTAAAATCTTCGTTTTCACCTCTTTTTATCCTTTGTTGCTTCTCAGTGCTGCTGATCCTGCAATCTCTTTGTAGCCGTTTCCAGTCGCCATGCACTCCAACGATGATGTCTGCATGGCTTCCTGATGGTGACAACAGTGGACCATGCCTGTGTAATATGTGTTAAAAAAAAAAGGCCACTTGTAGTCATCGGAAGCCCGAGTGACATATTAAAATAATCTTACCATGAAGGGTTTTTGTTTAGGCACTTCCTGTTATGGGGTGACAACGCTCTGTTCCTGTTGCCAGTTGTTGCACTGCGTTGTCACCCCATAACAGGAAGTGTCTGAACAAGAAACTTCATGGCAGTATTATTTCAGAGAAAATGCAGGCAGCACAGTGGCTAAACGGTTAGCAATTCTGCCTGGCAGTACTAGGGTCATCTGTGGTTCCCTGAGCGAAGGGCTGTAATTCCAGTGTCCACCAACAGGTGTCTCCTAGTAGCCAGCAGATCCCTGGAATCACTTTCCACCTGCTGGTGGACATTGGAATTACAGCCCGACCAACAGTACCGTTGGCGATTGATTCAGGTCCTGACTGGTAGGCTGGAAATGATGTTTATGCTACATTGTAATCTATATGATGCCAGGATTGTGTGTTTGCAGCGTGTGTATGTTGATCTCCCTGTCAATATGGCATACACAGATCTCAGAGTGTGATTTATGAGTCTCCAATAGACAACTTTCTCTGTCTCTGTTTCATTGCACAGGAGCTGCCTGACCTCCAGAGACCCGTACTGCGTGTGGGTTGAAATCGGGGACCTGCGCCAACTTCCGGGGGTGACCCCAGGTAATAACACCGCTATAATAAATACATCACATGCCAGATAATACCAGAGGTGCGTCTGTCTCCCCAGTCTCATTTATCTAATCGCCGATTCGCCGTTTAATGAACGGAGCTGCTTTCCCATAAGATCTAATTATACAACGAGTACCAAAAAAATGCTGAAATATGAATAATGGCTCAAATATAATGAATCTCTATTTTTGGGAGTCAAATTGTTGTCCCCAGATCCCACATGGAAGAAAAATATATTTGAAATATATTTTAAAAATATTCTTCCAAATATATTGACATATGTTGAAATGCTACAATTTTGGCCCGTATTCAATATATTTCAAAATATATTTCAATAAAATATATATATATATATATATAACTGTATGTTTTTATTACAAAATATATGAAAAATTATATTTTAAAAATTCATTTCAAATATACTGTATGTCTTTAAAAATACAAATCTACATTTTTGGAATGCATTTACATGTTTTTTAAAAAAATATATTTTTTTAAAATATATTCTTCAGATTTTTTTTAAAAACATATAAAAAAAGTCATTTTAACCTATATTTTTACATATATATGTAAATGCATTCCAAAAATGTAGATTTGTATTTTTAAAGACATACAGTATATCTGAAAAAAATGTATTTTTAAAAATATTTTTCATATATTTTGTAATAAAAAAAAAACAAAATTTCAACATGCAGTGTATGTATATATATATATATTCTATCTCTCTCTCCCCTATAAATATATATATATAATACATATATATACATACATGTATATATCTATATCTATCTATCTATCTATGTTTTATATATATCAAATATATGTATCTCTCTCTCTCTAATATAAATATTATATATATATATATATATATATATATATATATATATATATATAATGTATAATATATATATAATGTATCTATATATATGTATCATCTATATATCTCAATAAATTTAAAAAAAAAAAAATATATATATATATATATATATATATATATATTATATATATATATATATATCAATAATATATTTTTTCATATATTTTGTAATAAAAAAAACACATTTCAAAATGCAGTCTATATATATTATATATATATATATATATATATTATATATATAGATATATATAGATATATATAAAAACACTACATGTTGAAAATGTGTTTTTATTACAAAAAATATGAACAATATTTTTTAAAAATTCATTTCAAATATACTGTATGTCTTTAAAAATACAAATAAACTACATTTTTTTGGAATGCATTTACATGTTTTTTAAAAATATATTTTTTTAAAATATATTCTTCAGATTTTTTTAACATATAAAAAAAGTCATTTTAACCTATATTTTTACATATATATGTAAATGCATTCCAAAAATGTAGATTTGTATTTTTAAAGACATACAGTATATTTGAAATGAATTTTAAAAAATATTGTTCATATTTTTTGTAATAAAAAACACATTTCAACATGTAGTGTGTATATATATATCTATATATATATATATATATATATATATATATATATATATATATATACTGCATGTTGAAATGTGTTTTTATTACAAAATATATGAAAAAATATATATTGAGATATATATATATATATATATATATATATATATATATAATATTATATAATTTTTTTTTTTTTAATTTATTGAGATATATAGATGATACATATATATAGATACATATATATATATATAGATACATATATATATATATATATATATAATATTTTATATTAGAGAGAGAGAGATACATATATTGAGATATATATACATAGATAGATAGATATAGATATATACGTATGTATATATATGTGTATATATAATATATTATAGGGAGAGATAGAATATATATATATAAAAAAAATATACATACACTGCATGTTGAAATGTGTTGTTTTTATTACAAAAATATATGAAAAATATTTTTAAAAATACATTTTCAGATATACTGTATGTTTTAAAAATACAAATCTACATTTTTGGAATGTATTTACAACTATATATAAAAATATAGGTTAAAATGACTTTTTTATATGTTAAAAAAATCAGAAGAATATATTTAAAAAATATATATTTTTAAAAATATATATTTTTTAAATATATTCTTCAGATTTTTCTTTAACATATTTGTAAATGCATTCCAAAAATGTAGATTTGTATTTTTAAAGACATACAGTATATTTGAAATGTATTTTTAAAAATATTTTTCATATATCTTGTAATAAAAAAAAAGCATTTCAACATGCAGAGTATATATATATATATATATATATGAAATATATTGAATACGGCCAAAATTGTTGCATTTCAAATGTCAATATATTTGGCAAAAGTATATTTTTAAAATATATTTCTAAAACATTTTTCTTCCATATGGGATTATACAATGGAGGTATTTATTTGAAGCAGAACACCATCCCCCCCCCCCCCCCCCCCCCGAGTTTCCAGTTGAGTGGAGGAAGATTAGATGATCTATCTGCGTCGATTCTGCCTGATTTCCTGTCCCGGTGACTACACAGGAAGTGAGAGGAAATCTCCCCAAAGGGGAGAAACCTGATCCAAAACCAATAAAACAGAAAGTTTTGTCCGGAGTTCCTTTTTCTTGGGAACAATATTAAGGATCAGCCAGGTCAGCTGTCTATGGAAGGTGAAATAAATCGCCAATAATTTGTAAATTTGTTATGATTTCCAGGCCCGGATTTGAGCAGGAAGTCGATCAAACAAAACATCGGGGCAACTGTCAAGGTAAGCGAGAAGATTCTTAAATATATATATTTTTAAAAACTCATTTAGTTGCAGTGCAAGGACCTGATTTTGACTCAGCATCAGCCTTGTGCAATGCCTTGTAATGCAGAACTCAGACTGGAAGAAGGAGAAGCATTGGGGAGCCAATCAACAGCGCTGCATTACCCCTGTGCTAGCAAGGAGCTTGCTGATAGGAGGAGAGAGCAGAGAGATGGGCTTTTTTTCAATCTGCTGCTGCTCCTTTCACAAGCTGGGGGAGGCAGAGAACAATCAGGTCTCCTGTCTTGGCAGACTGGGCTGTGCTGAGCGGCAGAGCTGTGTAAATCTCAGGACTGGATGGACTGAAATACAATTCCTTTGGCAGGTTAAGCAGGCCCATGATGTGTTTTTGCCTGGAGTTCAGATATAATGCAAGAATGAAGGGGTTTGCAAAGGTTATTCAAGGTAAGGGAGGAACTGCACAGCAAGTCAGGCTGTGCATTGTACATGTGTACTCACAGGGAACATACTGACAGGAGGAGAGAGCAGAGAGTGAGTAGAGTTGACTGATTAGTGTGCTACAGTAGATCCAGACATACAGGTAGGTGGCGGAAGTTATGCAGATTGCAGCTTACTCTGTCAAATTCTGGATCTGTCCCTCCTATCTCACGCGGCTTCTGTCTGCATGTGCTCACAGGGGACATTCCGACAGGAGGAGAGAGCAGAGTGAGTAGAGTTGACTCACCCAGGGGCGGACTGACCATTCAGGCCCTAGGGCACTGCCTGAGGGCACGGGGTCAGTAGGGGGCCCCATGAGAAGCCCCCGGTACCTTTCATAGGCTTTTTTGGGTGTGATTTGAGTGTGGGCGAGAACACAGGGGCCCCATGATCCCCTATTGCCTGGGGGCCCCATGAGTTGTCAGTCCGCCCCTGGACTCACCAGTGTGCTACAGTAGATCCAAACATAGGTGGCTGAAGTTATATACAGATTGCAGCTTTTTCTGTAAAATTCTGGATCTGTCCCTTCTATCTCGCACGGCTTTTGTGTGCATGTGCTCACAGGGGACATTCCGACAGGAGGAGAGAGCAGAGTGCGTAGAGTTGACTCACCCAGGGGCAGACTGACCATTCAGGCCCTAGGGCACTGCCCGAGGGCCCAGGGTCAGTAGGGCACCCCATGAGAAGCCCCTGGTACCTTTCATAGGCTTTTTTGAGTGTGGGCGAGGACACAGGGGCCCCATGATTTCCTATTGCCTGGGGGCCCCATGAGTTGTCAGTCCGCCCCTGGACTCACGAGTGTGCTACAGTAGATCCAAACATAGGTGGCTGAAGTTATAAACAGATTGTAGCTTTTTCTGTCAAATTCTGGATCTGCCCCTTCTATCTCACATGGCTTCTGAGTGCATGTGCTCACAGGGGACATACTGACAGGAGGAAAGAGCAGAGTGAGTAGAGTTGACTCACTAGTGTGCTACAGTAGATCCAAACAGGGGCGGACTGACCATTTGGAAACTCAGGCACTGCCTGAGGGCCCAGGGTCAGTAGGGGGCCCCATGAGATGCCCCTGGTACCTTTTTTATAGGCTTTTTTGAGTTTGGGCAAGGACACAGGGGCCCATGATCCCCTATTGCCCGGGGGCCCCATGAGTTGTCAGTCTGCCCCTGGATCCAAACATAGGTGGCTGAAGTTATATACAGATTGCAGCTTTTTCTGTCAAATTCTGGATCTGCCCCTTCTATCTCACATGGCTTCTGTATGCATGTGCTCACAGGGGACATACTGACAGGAGGAGAGAGCACAGTGAATAGAGCTGACTCATCAGTGTGCTAAAGTAGACCTAGACATACTGTATAGATGGCCAAAGTTATGAGCCAATTGCAATTTTTCTGGGTTGACCCTCTATCTCCCAAGGCTTCCTTTGAGTCCCTCTGAAGGACCAATCAGGAAGCTCCAGAGGAGCAGGCCTGTATATCTCATCCAATATACTTAGCCTAGAAAATTCTGCTTCCTGTTTGAGTTTGTGAGAGATTTGCTTGAAATGTTAAAAAAAAAAATAGTAATTTCAGTGAAGAGGGCTTGTCATTGTCTTCCAAATCCCCACATGACCCGACAACTTTGATACAAAGAAGGAACCCTTGAAGGATTCCGCCCTTTTCATCATAAAACGCATGTAAAAAAGCGATTCATTTGCACCCAGCGGGAAGCCCGTGTAAGCACTTTGATTCATAACATGAAGATGTTTTTTGAAGAAGAGTTTTATGTCTGTTGGCTTGCGCCGTTCCCCGGCTCTCAAGTCCTCTTCCATTCTCATATTTCATTGAAGGGGAAGATTATGGGACAACGTATTAATAAAACACAATCCGTACAACCAACTCTTAGCTGGAAGAAGTGGCAACATTATGGGCTGTGACGTTTACAAGACAAATGGACGCTCGCGGCTTTTGTATCCTGCCGGCTGGTTTTGTAAAATTTATATCGGTCAATAAAGCTGCATTAATTTTTAACATCACCAACAAGGATCAGTGATGGATAGGCTGGCTTTCTAAGGCTTTTTATTTTCCTCCATCTTTTGAATAGGAGCTAAAGTCTATTGGCACTAAGCATACAGTCTGCGGTAAATTGTATCTAAACCCAACTTTGGGTAATGGTTAGAAACTTTGTTGGGTTGTCTATCTTTGGAGAATTGGAGAAGAAGAACTGGAGTGCCACACCGTGGCATTAAAGTCCAAAGTGAGTGGTTCCATCTGGACCACTGTGGTATAGAGGCCTTTGCTAGAAAATGTGTAGATCTCCTAATTCGGGCCTAGGGCCTACAAAGAGAACTTACAAGTAACTGTTCTTTGGTGCTTTGGTGGACTGTCTAGGCAAAGCTTCTGAATAAGGGGCCAAAGGGAGTGGCTCCATCTGGACAACTGTGGTATAGATGCCTTTGCCAGAAAATGTGTAGATCTCCTAATTCAGGCCTAGGCCCTACATAGAGAACTTGCAAGTAACTGTGCTTTGGTGCTTTGATGGACCGTCTAGGCAAAGCTTCTGAATAAGGGGCCAAAGGGAGTGGCTCCATCTGGACCACTGTGGTATAGATGCCATTGCTATAAAATGTCTAGATCTCCTAATTCGGGCCTAGGGCCTACAACGAGAACTTACAAGTAACTGTGCTTTGGTGGACCTTCTAGGCAAAGCTTCTGAATAAGGGGCGAAAGGGAGTGGCTCCATCTGGACCACTGTGGTATAGATGCCATTGCTATAAAATGTCTAGATCTCCTAATTCAGGCCTAGGGCCTACAACGAGTAACTTACAAGTAACTGTGCTTTGATGGACCGTCTAGGCAAAGCTTCTGAATAAGGGGCCAAAGGGAGTGGCTCCATCTGGACCACTGTGGTATAGATGCCATTGCTATAAAATGTCTAGATCTCCTAATTCAGGCCTAGGGCCTACAACGAGAACTTACAAGTAACTGTGCTTTGGTGGAAAGCCTTCTAGGACAAAGCTTCTGAATAAGGGGCCTAGAAAACGGAAGTAACTGTGCTTTGGTGGACCTTCTGGCAAAGCTTCTGAATAAGGGGTGAAAGGGAGTGGTATCTGGTATAGAGGCCTTTGCCAGAATATGTGTAGATCTCCTATTCAGGCCTAGGGCCTACAAAGAGAACTTAATAGTAACTGTACTTTGGTGGACTGTCTAGGCCAGGGGTAGGCTCTCTAGCTGTTGTGGAACTACATTTACTGTGAGGCATTGCAACATTACAAAATGACTCATGGGTCTGGCTTTATTCAACCTCCCTCTAAGGAATGATCCCAAGCGCTTCCTCAGGCTGAAAGTACTCCACTAGGCACACATTACTCCTTCCATCTGTGGGTTCCCTTTAGCAAAGATCACTAAAGAGCTTCCTTAATTGAAGGCAAAAAAATCACTTGCCCAGAGGGCTGAAAACTGCTCTATCATCAACATGGATCGGTCTATGAGAAGCTTTTCCCATTGGACATGACCAAGAACAGTAGTAAAACCACTTGAATTTAAAGGGTTTTATTGTCAAATCTATGGCTAAAATCAGTTGAAGCCTCAGGCCAAGTGGACCTGTGTGCTTTGCACAAGAAGTATCACCCCATGTGGGTAGATGAAACTTTTAGAAAGTATAACACAGGTCATGTTAGTTGAGATGAAGTCATAGGCCAAACCGCTCTCTTCTTTGTTCTTTAAAAGAAACAAGGATGGTAAAACATAACAACACGGGGATTTTATCAGCAGAGACAAAATCTTAAATTCTAACAACCATAAAAGACAGCTTGTAGTCTGAGCTAGGAGTGTGTGATTAGATTGCGTAAACTGAATGGTCTTGTGGAGTTTGGTCATGAGTTCCATACAGTGGAGGATTGTTCTTTACAGTCTCCTGTCTGTCTATATGACCGTACAGGCCTTATCAACTGGGGAGACTCTATGAAATGTGCAGTCCCACATTCAGAGCTCCTTTATTTGTCATGAAAATGTCTGAATATTCCATGACATCATTTCTAGCATGATATTTTAACCTCTAAATTGTAATATTTTCTTGACTAGTGCACAAGAGATAGGCCAGTCAAGACCCCCTACACCACCATCTCACTCTCTCTCACTTACCCCTATTAAATCATATCATTAAAGAAAAACCGTAACACCGATTGGAGTTAAATGGCCAACAGGGCCTTTTATTAACACATATAGGAGAAGTTGTTGGTCTTCGAAGGCACCAAACCAAAACCGATATCCTCCTGTGGTACCTATATTATAACTAGGCCTCCATCCGCAATGCACCGGCTCGGAGACAAAACATACCATCCGCAGTGCAGAACCACCACCTTCCAGTTAAACCTCAGTTAACTGGAATGAACCCGGGCACACCATACCACCGATGGGTCCCAAACCATTATCTTTAGCTTCAAAATAAGTGCCGCCTCCAAAGACCAACAACCGCCCCCGGAACCCGAACAAAAAGCCCCGCAGAGTGACAAAACACCCACACAACCCCAAAGGAGGATGGGAGGG